AAAACATTAGGTTACTGTAAGACAAGGGAAAACATTAGGTTACTGTAAGACAAGGGAAAACATTAGGTTACTGTAAGACAAGGGAAAACATTAGGTTACTGTAAGACAAGGGAAAACATTAGGTTACTGTAAGACAAGGGAAAACATTAGGTTACTGTAAGACAAGGGAAAACATTAGGTTACTGTAAGACAAGGGAAAACATTAGGTTACTGTAAGACAAGGGAAAACATTAGGTTACTGTAAGACAAGGGAAAACATTAGGTTACTGTAAGACAAGGGAAAACATTAGGTTACTGTAAGACAAGGGAAAACATTAGGTTACTGTAAGACAAGGGAAAACATTAGGTTACTGTAAGACAAGGGAAAACATTAGGTTACTGTAAGACAAGGGAAAACATTAGGTTACTGTAAGACAAGGGAAAACATTAGGTTACTGTAAGACAAGGGAAAACATTAGGTTACTGTAAGACAAGGGAAAACATTAGGTTACTGTAAGACAAGGGAAAACATTAGGTTACTGTAAGACAAGGGAAAACATTAGGTTACTGTAAGACAAGGGAAAACATTAGGTTACTGTAAGACAAGGGAAAACATTAGGTTACTGTAAGACAAGGGAAAACATTAGGTTACTGTAAGACAAGGGAAAACATTAGGTTACTGTAAGACAAGGGAAAACATTAGGTTACTGTAAGACAAGGGAAAACATTAGGTTACTGTAAGACAAGGGAAAACATTAGGTTACTGTAAGACAAGGGAAAACATTAGGTTACTGTAAGACAAGGGAAAACATTAGGTTACTGTAAGACAAGGGAAAACATTAGGTTACTGTAAGACAAGGGAAAACATTAGGTTACTGTAAGACAAGGGAAAACATTAGGTTACTGTAAGACAAGGGAAAACATTAGGTTACTGTAAGACAAGGGAAAACATTAGGTTACTGTAAGACAAGGGAAAACATTAGGTTACTGTAAGACAAGGGAAAACATTAGGTTACTGTAAGACAAGGGAAAACATTAGGTTACTGTAAGACAAGGGAAAACATTAGGTTACTGTAAGACAAGGGAAAACGGTGCACACGTGTATCGAGTAGTAAATTTTAAATAAAACCTTTTGAACATTCAGCCAAATTTAAATCAACAATAAAGCTAACGACTTGCCACATGTTCAAATTCAATGATATACAAAATTGACAGTGAAAAGTGCTCACCCCATTTTGTTAGTGATGTCATGACACGGCTGACCACAAATAGTCACATTTCTCACAGGGTTGTCAGTGTCGTTTAGATCTGCCCCATATAAAGTCAGCGGAGATGTCTCTTCAAAGAATACCTTTCTAGGTGTGAACTTGAGAATATGTTAGAGAAATGTCTTTTCAGATGTAGGCCATAGGTTTCACATTTATATTTCCATATACATGCAAAAATTATTTTATCACTCTGTCCTAATATCTCTGTTACTCTGTCTGTCTATCTCTCCCTCGCTCGCTCTCTCTCTCTCTCTCTCTCTCTCTCTCTCTCTCTCTCTTTCATTTCAAACACCGCTTTAAAGCAGACAAAATTAGACTATTTCTCTCAGGAGGGATAAACAGCAAAACCTTTATTTAAAACATTAACGCTAGTTTTTCTTTTTCTATGTGTCTTTTTCTTGTTGATCTCAGATGTTATTTAGACATAGCGATAGAATATCTTTGTAGAATAATTGATTGAAACAATGGCATCTATTACAATAAAAGGAGTACTTGCAAAACATCGCCAATACACCAATCATAAATTTACAGTTTGAAAATACTACCTGAAATCCAGAAATGTAATAAATTCTTGCGCAGCACACAGTCAAATGTAACACTATTATCAATCGGATAGCTTCCATTGCTAGCGATAACTCAAGTGGATTAGTTATTTTCGTACCGTTATAAAAACTCTAATAGTGACAATAGGAAGTTTAAACTTAAAAGATGCCATCTTGGATTACTCACTTTGCCTAAGAAATATAAATACACTTGAAATACCAGAGATTTTTGAGTAGACACATACAACTAAATACATGGTAATTACCAGATATTGCTTGTTAAATAAATAAAAAACTGACCAAACAATCAACGATTACAAAAGCAATAATTCAATTTGAATAAACTAATATCGCAAGCATACATCCATAAATGTTAACCACACACGTAGACCAACTTAGCTAAAATCATAATTAAGATTAATTAAAATTAAATTATTAAATCATGATTAAAATCATAATATAATAATAATAAATAAATAATCTTCTTGAAAAAATACTATTGCTGCACTGTAGTTCAAAGTAGCACACACTGGAGAAATCAACGAATTTGTTGATTGATTACTAGCAAAATCAAATGCAACTAAAAGGGTGCGTGGAGATAGGCATAATTATTACTACTTATATATAACG